TCAACACATCGGTTTTATGTTGTAATGGGGATGTAATATCGGTTTACCTGATGATGACATTGATGAGGAACGTTGGCCTATATCAGATTATTAGTAAGTCTAACCAATACAGCATTATACCCGATTATCTCACGTTCATTTTGAAGAAAATAATCTGAAGATATTCATGTTAAGTTATATTAAATTGTTACTGCAATTAAAATATTAGATCATCTCCAATGTAAACCTATTTTTTAGAATAGTATAATTCTATAATAGACTTGTATTTTTTTATGCAATTCTAATTTATTTTGCATCGTAGAAAATAGTGAAAAAGAAAACACTTTATTTCATTTATGTGGTAAACTTATTTTTATTTTGTAATAAAATAAATATAAAATAGGTTTAAAATATTTTTCTTTAAATTTCATTTCAGAATTACAAATAAAATGGGATTCGGAGTTGCTCTTACAAAATAACTCAGCTAAAACCTTGTTTAGGGTTTGAATCTAATCATCTACCTCTGAGACAGTGGACACCATGATTAATTAGTCTCCTAAACCTACCAAAGCCCTAGATCTTTTTTAATTTATTCAAAATTTCGTCAATACCCAAGAAGCTATATAGAAACAACTAACGAGACTATTTTAGTTTATTGAGTATATATAACTAAAGCTGGCAGATTAATTCATATCACTTCATCACATCGAAAATGACGTGATTGTAAAATAATTTGACCACGAGATTTGAAGATGTTTATTTTTATTTTTAAAATCCACTTCTCAGTTTTAAATGATTGTTGGTTTTTGGATTTTCGACTCCGTAAAGGGCCTAAAGTAACGAATTAACTTGTTAAATAATAGATTGACTTTAATTAAAGTCAAACACACGTCACGACAAAACAAACAGCTCTTCAAGGGTGTTTCTTGTTGGTCATAGACTCATAAATTTTATTTTAATCTGTACAAAGTTTTCATTAGATCGGCTCTAGAGTACTCTTGAGAACTGCAATTCTTTTGACCCTTCTCAAGTTTTACTTAATGTCTAATCTCTTTACTCATTTGAATATATTACCTTATATAATGCGGTGGGATTATTTAGCAACTATGTTTACAGAAGCAATAACTGTAAATGACTGCAATACGGTGTATAATCTGTCAAACCTTTGTTAATGTTCTTTTGGTCGACTTCAATCAATGAGATATCAAATGACACTCAAAATAAAACCCCTGATTATCAAATGTATATGGGGATATGATTAAGAAAATGGAAGTGATAATTTTCGTAGTTAATGAGATATCAATGGGCTGTCCGTTAGGTGTCAAAGAGAATTAATTAATACTATCTGATTGCAAAAACAAATGTCAAATGGACAGTTTATGTTGATTCCTTTAATTACTCTTAACACTCTCAAGAACATGCAACGCAGACACTGAAAATATATAATTTAAGAAATTCAAATCATTGCACGAATATTCCCAAAACTACGTTACTATTCATTATGAAATATTAGAATCACTAAGACTATAACTTTTGAGTCTTTTGACAGATTTCAGCTTCAGATTTTTCTATTTGGTCGACAACAGAAAAACACTTATACTTAATGATTCGAGCGATATAAATTATAGTATCAATTAATGGCCCAAAGTCGTGGGGCAATATTAAGTTTGATATGTAATAATTAACCAATAACCAACTTAATGATTTCGCAATCAAATGGATTCCCTTTAGATTTCTTCCACTTAAAATCAAATCTTAGTGGAAATATCTATTAATCCTACATAACTCTCTCATACAAAAATCTTTAAGCCTTGAAGCCAAAAAAAAAAAAAAAATCACTCATACAATCAAGTATTATTTAGAAAACGTGTGAAAGCTCTACTATACCATATCTTCTTATTGATAAAGGCTCTATTTTTTTTTGTTTTAAACATTCGAATGTTTAACCTCAGTACACCATAGTTAATCTATATATATATATATTATATGCCAATATGTAGATTTATTACTCGAGGTTGACATGTTTACAACACTGAAGTGATATAAACAAAATTCGACTTGATATGTTAAAGTTCATGCATATTTTTTGTAAAACGTGATTTTCAAAACAAAAGTTTACAATGTAAAGATATTAGGAAGTACAGTATACATAAATTTTAATCTTTAGTCAAAAAGAAAATTTTAATCTTTTTCACTCATTGTCTAAAAAAGTTAAATTTGAAAATTTTGTCGGCTTAATTATCAAAAAAATTGTCGGCTTTTATGTTTATATGTAAATGAAGATTATGTTCTACATGATAGTATAAGTGTTCCAAAAAAGGTTCTACATGATATAATTAGCAAAGGCAAGTTGGTCCTTTTTGTGTTTGGCTTATAGAGGAATAAGGTGAATGCTTATTGGCTATTCCATTATTCACATTTAATTTCCACCTGTAAATTCATTGACCTTTATTAGCAAACAAAACAAAAGTAACCATTTGTTAGAAAAAAAGAAGTAAACATCTCCGTTTGTAACGTTAAATTCAAACAAACAACTTTGGTCACTAAGCAATATAAGTCAGAAGACTCAGAACTTAACATGTTTTCCTGTCAAACAATATGTGAAATGTGGATATTTTAATGAGAACACACCGATAAATGATATCTCCAAGTTAAACCTGTCGAAGAAGTCATATAAAAAGACAGATAAGAATTGTCAAAGATTATTAATCTTAATGCTGTCTAATTCTAAATGGTTGGTTCAAATATCTACTTAATCTACAGTGTTAAGGTAACTTTTTTTTTGTCAGTGCAGTGTTAAGGTAACTATATCCAAAGTTGCGATACCTAGTGAATTTTGGACTATATATATAGAGCCACAAAGGGACAATTCTATATAAGTGAAATTTGAACTGATATGTATACGTTCATTTAATCACTTTCTTGGGTGTTTTTTTTTAATCTTAAAAAGTGTATGTTTGTCGCCATTTGGTGGATGCTTTGCACTCTTGCAGTGCCGGTCTTGTGAAAACAAACTTCGAAAAAATCTTCTATGATCCATATTGACAGACATTATTTTCAACTTTATATATATATATATAATATTATTGTGGTTTCAGAGTTGAGAGATTAATATGGATAATACAAGAATCACAAGTTCAACTCGAATTTTAAAAGAAATACTAGACATATTTACCAAGTGAAATAATCGTACGTGTTTAATCAATTAACGTATTGGTTATCCGTTACTCAATGTTTGAAATAATGAACTTCCAAATTCAAAACAAGAAAAAGTCCGGTAAACATTCTTATTTTGTTGACCCATAAATAATTACCCTATGTTATGCAAAAAGTACAAATAGCAGCTGCACGTTGACAACAACAAACAAATACCATATAAGATGACTTTTTATTTTATTTTATAAGATGACTTTTACAAGTTAAACACCATCAATATAGTTATCCAATCAAACTTTCAAGCAAAAGTAAAGATGCAAGTTGAATTATTTATTTTAGTACTAATAAAAAGGCTTAAATATAAAATTCAGAACAGAGAGTTTTGGACCACAAATAAATTAGTAATAATGAAATTATTATTATAAATTAAAAGAAATTCCATCTTTAGCCCGCGGACTTTTGAACACCAACGTCAAGGCTGCACGAAACCGATCTAGAAAATCAGACATTGAAACAGAAGACTCTTGTCTCTTTGTTCACGTTTCTCTATATATACACACATATACACACAGTAATATCTATATCTAAAGAGAGTTAATACAAAGATCGAGATTTACTTCAGAAATGGCGATGGAAGACGAGGTATCTTCGATGAGAACTACAACGTTAGTGGCTCCAACGAGACCCACGATCACAGTTCCTCAGAGACAACCGGCGATTGAAACGGCAGCGTATCTTTTTGGCGGTGGAGATGGGCTTAGTCTGAGCCCTGGTCCACTTTCTTTTGTCTCGTCTTTGTTCGTTGACAGCTTCCCTGACGTGTTGACGCCGGATAATCAGAGAACGACGTCGTTTTCTCAGCTTCTCGCCGGAGCTATCTCGGTGTCTCCCGGTGGAGGAGGAGGACGTTCGACGTCGGGGATGTTCGCCGGAGGGAGTACGATGTTTACAATTCCTTCTGGTTTGAGCCCTTCTAGTCTTTTTACCTCTCCCATGTTCTTTCCACCTCAGGTAATTAATTGAACTTTTTTTCTTCGGCTTAGGTCACTAATTATTTATTAACCTTAATCAAATTACGATTAAATGATAAACTAAACCATGTTTTATTCTGCTAGTTGTTACTGATATATATTGAATTAACGCAATTACTATATAAGTTTATGATTCACGTTTATATAAGTTCTTAGTGTAAGTATCTTGGTTTATCTTAAAACTGATACTTTCAAGTCTACAAACTTGTGAATCTTATTGGGTATTTTTAGTAGTATACATTTTCATATAATTTTCCTTCTTCATAAAAGTATTTATTAAATCCCTAGTATGATACTCCTAATGCAGCAGTCACCAGGTCAGACCAGCCTTGTCCAACCGCAACGACCAGACTCATTTCCTAACCAGATGCCGCCATCGACATCCACGGCCGTGCATGGCCATCAATCTTTTCAAGTTCCGCAATCCGGTCATAGAGCTAGAAACCAACCGGCAAATAACAACATTAATAACCGGTCGTATAATGTGGTGAACGTTGATAAACCGGCGGATGACGGTTATAACTGGAGGAAGTACGGCCAAAAGCCGATCAAAGGGTGTGAATATCCGAGGAGTTATTACAAATGCACACATGTTAATTGTCCGGTTAAGAAGAAAGTTGAACGGTCATCAGATGGACAGATAACTCAGATAATTTACAAAGGTCAGCATGATCATGAGAGGCCTCAGAACCGTCGTAATGGTGCTGGTGGTGGCAGAAATTCCGGTGAAATTGGTGATGTTCATTACATTGGTGGTTCAGGACAGATGATGGAGTCTAGTGATGATAGTGGTTATGGTAAGGATCATGATAATGATACTGATGATGATGATATTCCACCTTCTAAGATAAGGTATAGTAGAAGTAACATATATATATAAATAAAATTCTATTCATGATATTAGTTTCAGCTTTTGTTATCCACTGGACTGATCGAGTAATATTTGGAATATAGAAAAATCGACGGTGGTGGGTCGACGACACACCGGTCGGTGACCGAGCCGAAGATCGTCGTCCAGACAAGAAGTGAAGTCGACCTTCTCGACGATGGCTATAGGTGGCGCAAGTATGGACAAAAAGTTGTCAAAGGAAATCCCCATCCAAGGTAATATTTAGGGTTACTGAGTTCATATAGCTTCATAAATTGAGACCATATATAGAAAGTTTGATTATGGTATATATATTGCTTCACTTTCTCTTTTTGTTGACAATACTCCTTTTATTTTGGTAATACTAGGAGCTATTATAAATGTACAACACCCAACTGTACGGTCCGTAAACATGTAGAGAGAGCTTCAACAGATGTGAAGGCTGTGATTACAACTTACGAAGGTAAACATAACCACGACGTCCCTGCCCCTAGAAACGGCACTGCCGCAGCAAACTCAGCTACGGCGGGAACGTCTGACCACCACCGTGTGACATCAATGTCGGGGAATACGCAACCACATATGAGTTTCGGTTACACTAACAATACAGGACAATCTCCGGTTCTTTTGAGATTGAAAGAAGAGAAAACCATTATTAATTGACTTTTAAACAGATGATTTCAAGATTAATTTATTAGGATTGGTTAGCCTCTCCGGTGACTGATATTGAACCGGGCTACTACTTATTGACTTGTAACATGTGTGATGTGACTTGAGTGCATGCTTGACTAAAGAAATGAACATCAAAACCTCTAATAAGTTTTTGTTTCTTTTTTTCTCTTGAATTGTGTAATGTTTTTTTTGTTATTTAATCATTGATTGAGGATATGAAACATAGATGTAAATTAAAAAACTAAAATTATTAAAGATAACAAAATTTGTTTTTCTTGCCTCTTTCTCTTCCAAAGAATAAGGAGGATTGTCCAATTCTCCGTGATTATCTCTTTCTTGATTCGGTTTCTCTCTATTTTACATCAAAAACTAATTTCCTTTTAAATTTTTGTTTTTTTTTTCTCACTTTATTTTCTTTTCTTTTCTTAATGGTCTAATGCGGGGATTGCCCTCCCTGCGTTGGACCCGATTACCCGACCCGGGTCGATACTCACGCCGTCCGGAAACTCTCTGACTATTAATTTCATTATATGGGTTGCTTCAACTCCAAGCATTCTTCTCCGGCAGGTCCTCCACGCCATCTCCGCCGCCGTTTAGACGCCGCCGTCCACCGAAGTCACCCCCAAAACAACCACAACCGTCATGCTCTTCCCCGTCCACCGTCTCACCGCCGTGTCAACAACTCATCTCCGAAAAAACATCGCAGTCACGACGACGATGCTCCAAGATCGAGGACGACGGGAGTTAGCCTGAGATCAGGATTGCCGCACGGCAATGTAGAGGCTGAGCAGGTGGCGGCTGGTTGGCCCTCCTGGCTCAGCTCCGCCGCACCGGAGGCTGTTCATGGGTGGATCCCATTACGTGCAGAGGACTTCGAGAAAAGAGAGAAGGTAAAAAAAAACAACCCTAAAATCCCTACACATTCCTTGCATGACAAGAAACATCCCCAACGATTAATTTCTACCATTTTTTTCAAAAAAAATAATTTAGATTGGACAAGGGACGTATAGCAATGTGTTCCGGGCTTGTGAGGTATACACGGGACGAGTCATGGCTCTAAAGAAAATAAGGGTTCAGAATTTCGAAACTGAAAACATAAGATTCATAGCGAGAGAAATCATGATTTTGAGAAGATTAGATCATCCAAACATCATGAAACTCGAAGGGATCATCGCGTCACGTAACTCAAACAGCATGTACTTTGTGTTCGATTACATGGAACACGATCTCGAAGGCTTATGTACATCTCCTGACATCAAATTCACCGAGGCACAGGTTAAGAAAAGATCATAGCGTTTGGTGCAAGTAACTCTGTTTTGTTTTTCCTGATGCGTCTTTAATTTTTTTTTTTTCTTTTTCAGATCAAATGCTACATGCAGCAGCTTATATGGGGAGTAGAACATTGTCATGTACGAGGGATTATGCACAGAGATATTAAAGCCGCAAACATTCTGGTGAATAACAAAGGAGTTTTGAAGCTAGCTGATTTTGGACTAGCTAACATTGTAACACCAAGAAACAAGAATCAGTTAACAAGTAGGGTTGTGACTCTATGGTACCGTGCACCGGAACTTCTAATGGGTTCTACTAGTTATAGCGTATCCGTCGATCTTTGGAGCGTTGGATGTGTTTTCGCTGAGATTCTTACCGGAAGACCACTACTTAAAGGAAGAACAGAGGTGAGAAAGAGACTAAAAGCTATACAATGATATTACTAATTACATTTTTATGAGTTTTTTTTTTGTGTCTGTGTTTGTTCTATGTAGATTGAACAACTTCACAAAATATACAAACTCTGTGGATCACCAGATGAAGACTTTTGGGAAAAGAACAAACTTCATCCCCAAACTAAGATGTTTAGAACACAACATCAATATGAAGGTTGTCTGAGAGAAAGATTTGAGGAGTTTCCAAAAACAGCAGTTGATCTCTTGGAGAATCTATTATCTATTAATCCAGAGAAAAGAGGAACTGCCTCTTCTGCTCTCATGTCAGAGGTGAATAAAAAAACCATAAACTTTAATCAAATTACAAAGTCTGTGTATATTTTTAACTGCCATATGTTTTGCTGTTTATTTCAGTACTTTAACACAAAACCTTACGCTTGTGATCCATCGACATTACCTAAGTACCCTCCTAACAAAGAAATGGATGCTAAGTACCGTGAAGAACTTCAACGAAGGTTTCAATCAAATCAAATTTCACAAAATCTTTATATGTATATATATGTTTGTCTATTTAAGTTACGTGTGTTGAAAGATTAAAACATTGGTTTTGCAGGAGAAGAGTTACTATAAAGAAAAGAGACAACTTGGCACCCAAGCAAGAGACAAAATCACGTAGAACAATCAGAGAGCCTACAAATCTTAACAAGTTACCCACCCAACAGGTCTACATTCATCAATGACTTAAACCGAAATAAACCGATTCTAAACTCCGGTTATTTATTAATAATTTGGTTCATTGTTGGCGTAGGAAGCAAAGAAGGAAGCCGGGACAGAAATCATTGTCCAAACGCCATCAGAGACATCTCAAGCGACGACAAGAAGCGAGTTTCCGTACACCGGTTTATCTCAAACCACGGCTCCAGCAAGCGGGTTCGCATGGGCTAGTACAAAGAAGAAGAAAGAAAACGACGCAGCTTCAACGCTGACTTATAACCATCCTGCAGGATCTGCTAGCCACGTGAGTGGTATGAGCATGGCATTTGCGAAGAACACTTTTGGGTTAACAATAAATGAAGACAAACCGTTTCTTAGGCCGCACGTTTCTCTAGACTCTTCTGGCGTGTATTACAAGAAACCGGAAGAAGATACGGTTAGTCAATTGAATACTGGAGAGAATGCGAAGATTTTTCAAACTAATGGGATGAATGAGATATTAAGAAGGACTGAGAGTGATGCTAGAGTCGGTGTTCGAAGACCGCCAAGAATACAAAGAGGTTAAAAATGGGAGAAAAAAAAAAGAGTTACCACTACTTTTAGCCAATGTCTTCATTTGGCATCATTTGTAGTCCATAAATTAAAAAAGTTGTCACAAACAAACCAAGGACGGTCTGAAAACTTCAAGTTCTAATGTGAAGTTTAATTTGTTGAAATTAAGGTCACAAGTTTAGGGTTGGTAACTAGGTAGGGATATTCAAAAAGGTAGCTCGTTTAAAAGATAAGGTTTTGCATGTATGTATATGCTTATTAAACACGTATAATTTCAAAACATCTATCATGTTCAGTGGTCAACATGTTTGACGAGGAAACAATGGTTCAACATCTAAGAAGGAAGATACAACATTGTCAGTAACAGCCACATTGACATTGTTCCACGATTCCATGCCTATATTCACTTCCATAATTTCATCCTCTTCATCGCTTTCTATAACATGAATTTGTGGTTGCGGATGTGATCGAAGCCTCTCCAATTCCATCAACACTTCTCTCATGTTTGGTCGTTTTTTTCCTTTGAGATTCAGACATTTCCTTGCGAGTTTTGCCGCCATAATAACTTGTTCCAACTTGCATTCATCTTTGATCCGAGCATCGATGATTTCTTCGAGTCTATTCTCTTTCATCGCGAGAATAAAATAAGCTGCCAATGACCTATTTTCATCAGACCGCATATAAGAAATTGGCTTCGCTCCAGTAATGAGCTCTACCAACACAACTCCGAAGCTATACACATCACTCTTGTCCGTGAATTGGCTAGATTGAAAATACTCTGGATCCACATATCCGACCGTACCCGAAACCACTGTTGTTAGTCATTGTATCGTCGTCAAGCTCATCATGAAGATGTTCAAAAAGATTACCGTTGGGAATAAACTCGTAAACCAAAACGGGTACTTGTGTCTCAAGGCAACAACCGAAGAGTTTGACAATGTTCCTATGGTTGATCTGTGAGAGGATGACAACTTCATTGATGAACTCTTCCAACTTGTCTTCATCGACGACTTTTGATTTCTTGACCGCCACGATTCTACCGTCTACCAACATTCCCTTGTACACAGTACCTTGACCACCTTGTCCAAGTACTCTGTTTATGCTGAAATTTTCTGTGGCTTTCTCCAACTCTTTCGAGCTGAATATTTTTGTTTGCTCGACATTGCCTTCTGTTGAAATCAATTGTTGTTGTAACAATAGACCGCCATTTCGCTTGAAAAGCTTCTTTTTGCGGTTGATCCTTCTTTGTCTTTTAAATAACTTGTATATCCAGTACAATCCACCAATTGCTATCAGTGTTACGAAGCTAATAACAATGCCTACAAACCCCACAAAGGAATAGCAAAAAAAACCCACTCAGGTTTATAAATAGATGTGAGTGACTTTGGATAAAAGAAGCTTCCATGATTTACCTATAGTAATTGGTCTAGTCTTTGGAGGTACGCAAGTATAGTGTCCTTGATGATTAACACAAGTGGACCCGTGGGAACAGAGGTCATGACCTCCAGTAATCTTATTTTCTTGGCATTCATCAATATCTGGATTCAGAAAACTTGTGGAATTGTTGACAGACATATTCGTAATTCTATAATGGAGTTGAGTTTCATTGTAACCTACTATCTAATTTAGAGTTAAAAACTGAAGTAGGATTGTAGATGTTCTTCCTTCGACCATTTTAGAAACAACTTGTACATTCTTTTTAAAAATAGTAATGTTACGGATACTCACCGCTAGTCTGGATCTATTTCGGTGGAGGTTAGGATACACTTAGTTATTTAGAGAAAATAAAATAGTAATGTTCAGTTACTGACCTTTGCATCCGTCCGGAACATATGGGTTGCCTCTATAACCCTTGTTGCACGCACAACTTGCATAGTAATCAATATCGGCTAAATAGCTGCAGGTACAGTTTCTTTTGTAAGATGGTTCAGTACTATTGAACTCATCTGTTATAGCGCATCCCAATGAGTCTAGGAAGGAATAATTTCCTGTATGAATGAACCATCCTAACTCAACCGTAGCATATCCTTTAACATGAAGCTGTTTTGGATCAGATATATCTTCCAAAATGAATGGGTCGTCCGTTAGTAAGGCAACTTTGCACCCTCCTCCCAAAGTTGTGGTGGTACTTTCATTTATTGCCACGCCAACAAGCTGTTGAAGCTCGTCCGGCATACTTGCCTGGCAGCATCTAGAACTATCGCAGACTGTTTGATTCCCAGTGTTTTCTGCAGCACAGTGAGTGGAGTGCATCTTCCATTTCTTGACTTTACAACTAACGTAGGCGAGATAGTTTTGAGTGGACGTATTATGCGAGGGCTGTTGTGTTTTGCCGCAAGTAGAAGTGCATCCCACCATACTTGTCTCAGCAGTTTCTAACGATGCCCTCATGTTGCAACCAACAGCAATAAGGCTATTCTTGTAGCTAACGTAAAAAGGGCTGCCCGTCAAATCTAAAACTGATGCAGCTATGTCGTTTTCCTTCTCGTTGTCGCTGGAACAACCTTTTGAAGTTATAGAATTCTTGATGTAAACTGACCCGTACGAATCAAAACCTTGAGTGCGGTATTCACTCGGTAGGGAGATATACAAAACTTCCTTGTTAGCGATAGAAAGGAAGGTAGAACTATTATTAACACATTTTATTGCGTACCATTTGTTGAGATAGCAACCTTTTCCGATTCCAAATGGGAAGGGGATCTCGACTGTGCCACATCTTTCTTGACACAAGCCCGTGGCAGAATCAAAATTCAAGGAAAAGAGTATGGTGAGTATGAGAATCAAGAGGGAAAAACTACACTCAGGGCTCATGTCTTATCTCTATCTCTGCTCAAGCAAATACTGTATGTTCTTTCTCTGAGTTTTGTTTCTTGCTAGATAAAAGAGGAAAATTGCGTTTACCGTTTACTTGGACACAATACAGTCAACACTAAGTCTTCGGTCTTCATCTTTGAAATTTAGACCGGTTATCGTCTGCAGCATCTTTGAATTTTCTTCTCCGTCTCAATCAAATGGATTATAAAGTCTACCGGTCTTGATCATCTTTGTTGTCATGTCAAACTATTATATTAAGATGTCCGTTAAATGTAATATGTAGTTAACTCACTAGTACAAGTGCAGATGTAATTTTTTTTTCCAAGTGCAAATGTATATACCTAAATGAAAAAGAAAGTCGGGTATTACGATATAGGTCAATTTTTTAAAAAAAATTATTCATTCACATAATATATACAAACTCTAAACGAATAATTAACTCAATTCATTTTTGTATTTTTTTTTGCTTTCTTTGGATTTTGATTAGCGTTTGTTCACGACGATGGACATGGGCAAATAGGGATTATTCTTGAAGTGGACAGGTTTGACTATTCAGAGGACTCTGAGCTGATCAAGAAAAGAAGCACATAGCTCCAAAAACAGGATCTGGGGACCCTGTATCCTCTCTGCAAATACTTGCCGTCCTGAGTTTTATACAACTATTTAATCATCAACAACAAACATCATCAAGCCCAGAGATTCTCATACTGATCTTTGAAATCAACAAGACTCACTTTTATTTCTATTCCACTTCCAAATGGCCATAGACACTAAAACACATCAAAAACAGCGTGACATGCAAGCAAACCCTATTTGAGTCATATGAATGTGTGCTCATCAGGAACGGCTAAATGGAGAAAGAGAATTAAACTGTATTTCAACATTAGTAGACTTAACAGCTGCATCGTCCTCTATCATGCTGGAGTCATCTCGAAAGTAGCTATCATCGTGCATCAAGTTACTGAACATTCCATCTGCGTTATTAGGAACCAATCTGCACTTCATGTTTCAGGGCCGCTGTCATTATTTCACGCGGATGATCCCGACACTGTTTGGATCAAGTGGTTGAATTATCAATCAAACTAAGAACAGATAATTAAGAAAATACATTGAATTTTTATTGCATAAATTCAGGAAAAACAAAATCAACACCTGAAGTCAGAACCCAATTTTTCTCAGCATGGTACTGAGATCTCAAGCCAACCCCTTGGAGTTCCATCAGTCCTGGAAGACTAACGTGTGAAAGTACATTATCTGCTGGATGCAATGCATACCTGGAGTACCTTCCTGATTAAATTAAACATTCAAGGATTACTTCGAAGATCTTTTGCTACAGTCAAAAGGACAATGAAGACATACCATAGTCTCTTGTAACTCGGCCTTGAGATAACCACCAGAGCCACGGAAACGTACAGTATCAGATAGTATATCAGAGTGTCCTGTTAGACAGCAGTCGACAACAATTCATTATTTTGAAAAAAAAAAAAGATATAGCAAATAGACAAAGAGGCTTATAGAAACCCATACATCATTCTGGCTTATAAATACTCCACTCCTGGTATTATCTACATCAAAGACAAGACATGGCTAATTTTTTTTTAACTCTCAAATACAAGGATGATAGCTTGGAAAGTTGCTATGTTGATCAAAAGAAAACAATACCTGCAGCAAAAGTTATTTGCCTCCTCCTCCTGCAATCAACCATTCTCTACAATATAATCAAATAGCTCACTAGAGTTCACATAGTCCATGAATAGATAAATATCTGTGGGAGTCTCTCTGACCTCATAGAGAGGCATGATGTGAGGAAGCATAAACAGTCAAGATTTTGATCTCTCTCCTCACTGCATCAAAGAGAAAACAGCAACCAACACTAAATGAGTTTTGACTAAAAGAGAACTACCATCTACAAAGTCGCAAAGTCTACAAAAAGAAACAAAATCAAGTAAATTAGTATGAGGATACAACAAAAGTATACCTTTTACCTCCATATACATGTTCTTGATTTTGCTACTACTGATGATCTTCATGGAAACATTATGTCCGGTCAAAGTGTGTTCAACCATCTTCACCTTACCGAAGGAGCCGATACCGAGAATTTTCCCGAGCTTGTGATTTGGCAGAATCGACTCCACACCACCTTTACCACCTGATCCATCCATTTTCTACAAAAAAGATGCAACTATACACACAAAAGGAAAAGGCCAAAGCTCAAGAGAACTATATTAATCAAAATAACTGCAAAGTAAAGAGGAGAAGAAGGCAAAAAAGGGTAATACAAAAACATGAGTTAAAAGCCCATTCGGTTTAGAGGTCTAATTATGACAAACCAAATCTTTTTTTCTTTTCTTTCTTTACAACTTGTATACAAATACAATACAAAACCGGTTCATTCTAATTTCTAGGTGGAGAGCCAATGCACACAGCAGTCGGTTTAGTGTCTTCTTCCATCTGTTAAAGGACACAACCCGCGTTGAACAACATAACCAACTTCAAAAGGACAAGCTAGAGTTCTTTTGAGAAAAAGGTCTATTTTCAGCCTTGATTTGAACGGAGAAGTGGAGGATCTTCAGGTGAGATGCCCCGTCCGTACCGCGACTCCGAGACAGCGGGGTCTCGATATGCGACAACGAGTTTCGCATAGAATTCAGACATGTTCTGCTCTCTCGCGTCTGCTTTGTCTTTGTTTACCAAACACTGCAACAATGAAGGTTAGGCTTTATGCTAATGTTCATATATATATATATGAGATTGCAACAGGTCTAATGATACAAAGTAGCCAGATTTTATGTTTCCAAACAGTTCTGAGGAAAGAGAAATGATCTTTGAAGCATTTACCTCGGTAGGATAAGATTTGAAATTTGCTAAGAAACGTCTGTGGCAGTAAATGCTGAAAAGGAAGGTGAGAATCGGAAGTGGAATTGTTAAAGAAGATGCCAAGGGAAGCTCTTTTAGCCCGAATATTCCGATTGCAATAACGTGCATCAGAACCAAAGAGAAGATAGTGGAGTTATGTACTATTGGCCAGAACTTTCCACCAGTTTCATACTTTGCCTCATATACGTTTAGAAGCTGCAAACAACACCAAAAAGTGAAGTTAATTTATTACACCAAGTTCTGATGAAAACATTAAGGCAAAAACGATGTGTAGACGATTCGTAGGGTTACAGAGCAGATTCTTATATGTCTCTATCAGAATTTTACGAGAATCAACGGAGAGTATACGTAAAGAAACTGAGCAGAAAGATTGGTTTGGTTACCTGGTTGCGGTAGATGACATATCCAAGACAAAAGTAGACTAACAAGAAGGGCAGTATCAACGGCGAAAGGAAGAAGTAAGTTGTACCGAGAAGTCCAAAAAAGAGAATACTTGGGATCTCTTGGCAAAATGGAGTCGAAGGGACCTCAAATTCTTTGTCATCTTCCTTACCGAAAAGTTTCATCACAAAATTCCAGATAAGAGGAACCAAACGGAAGATCTCTGACGACAAACCAGTCCATCCAGATGTCACAACATAAGATATAAAAAACGATGCCTGCACCAAAGATCAAAACATGAATTATGGCAAAGGTAATATGCGGAAAATCTTAAAACTGGATTGTGTTTACTACCTGAGCTGGCACAGCAGCAGCAAGCACACGGGGAATGTTCTTAGGTTCAAGAAACACATTGACACGATAAAGAGCAGAACCGGACAGTACATTTGCAAAGAAGCTGTTCCATACAGTAAAGACTAGAAGCTTGATACAAGCAGATTTCTCTATCTGGCTATGAGAAATGTATCCTTGCATTGAAGAAAGTAGGAGCATAATGGGTGGTACTATCATAAGGAAGAGCTGGAAAATTAGACTCGGTAGATATCCCGTAATCACTTGACTCACAACTTTTCTGCAAAAGAAAGTAAGATCAGACTCTTTTTTAGTTTGGTTCAACTGAAACCATGTCTATCTGAACAGATTTTTACTCACATATTAAGTATGTTTTTTAGAAAAGGAAACCATATTTCCAACTGGTGGAGATTAGCAAGACCTTGAACCAACACAACAGGGATAACGTATAAGATTAACAGAGCTACGAAAGCCATGAATACCACCACATTGGAGATCCATCTTCTCACGAACGATGCAGTGAAAAACGGCCAATGAACATCTTGAGGCTCTGGAGCTGGCTCAGTTAGCCACTCTGTTGGATCTATTCCTTGCTGAATGTTTGATGCTATTGCAGCACCATGTCTTGACCTAAAGGAAACGAAAGCTGCTGGAACTTCCTACAAAAGTTTGTCAAATAGGAATGAATATGTTGAACAATGGAACTAATCACACAAAGAGAAAATTCTCACATCTCCTGCTAATAAAGACTGTTTCAATCTCATGTCGTCTTCTAACTTCTCAAGCTTCTTTTCGTAATGGTCAACCACATCAACTTTCTTCCCAAACATCCCTAAAAACCCATCACGGATAGACTTTCGACGAGATAAGCTTCCGGATTTCACTCGAGTAAGTTTCTTGTAAAGCTTCTCAGCATCATTCTAAAACAAATATATGAAGTCAAGAAATACCCAAGATTTAAGACACTATAGAACCACTTAGTTGATAGAAGCTTTACCATGAGAGCTTTTAACTTGTCTGTGCGATGAACAACTACATGAGAAAGATAAGTGGAAGAATGATACTCTCTGAAAAAACTGTCCACTGTTTCACTTATACTGTTTCCAGACACAACAGGGACGCCACTGACAAGAACAGTAAACTCTTGTGGCTGAGGCTTGGTTGAATAAAAATGATCAATCCGCTTTGAAGAAAGGTATTTGTGCTCCTGTAAAGTTGGTCCAAAGATTGTTTTATGTTCACATTTTAGGCGCAAAGGGAGTAGAATAAATAGAGAAAACAAGAGGACTCTTACATAGTAAAGCAGATAACAAACAACCGCTGTGAAGATGTATATGGCTGAAAAGTGAATCCACAACCTGAATCAAAACACATACAAGCATAAGCTTTGGTTAAGAAATTAAGACTCTGTTTGAGCACAGCTTACTTATTTGATCCATCGTTAACATTAGAGATGCTGAAGAAATCAAGAGATTTCTTAGGCAAGTCGAAAAACTCTTCAAACTCAGTACCCATATAATTCACTGGAAGAAGGATAAAGATCCCAACCACAGAAGCCAAGCTAAACACTCGTATACTGCCAAAAAAGAAAGTATCAAACCATTTAATCCAAAGAAAAAAAAAAGTCAAAACTTTTAAAGCAAATTCTAATGACCTGAAGACAAAGACACGAATGAAGACCAAAGCATCTAAGCCAAGATTGGAGAGAATGTCATCGTTGGTAGGTTCCAATGCTCTTTTGACCCAACCAGCTGTAGGCAAAAGCCTCTCAAGGTTGAACGCATTTGTCTCCTCAGATTCCCCATCTTGAATAAGCTTTGGACCGTAGACCGTGACATTCCCAGGCTGCTTTCTCAATATTGAGTACAGAGTGAAGAAGAGGAAACAGAGGCCAAGATTGATTCCCACTGAAGTTAAAAGCGCTGAGAGGATCATAGCTCCAAAGATTGTCACCAGCAACAGGATTGATTGTGTTTGGTCAGATCAAAGAGAAGCCTGGCAATAGATATGCAAATTGATTGTTAGGGAGTTAACAACGTACAATAGAGTTTAAATTGTAAATGACTAATCATGAGACATAATATCGATCATGATCATTGCAGTTTTCAGCAAATTTTTGGAGCAAAATGGAGAAGAAATGTGAATATTGACACAGAGAAAAAACAAAAGAATGTTAAAACTGTGAAGAGCATGGAAAGTACGCTAATAGCCCAGAAGCAATCAATGATCGGATGCAAAAGAGAAAACAAGAGAGGATTGTTTGTTCCAAAAAGGCTGAAGCTTTTCGATCAAAAACACAAATTAAGAAGGAAAAGAAAAAAGGAGGAGAAAAGATCCGACCAAACCTTTGTCATGAATCAGTCAAGGCGGTGATCATTACCATAATAATGAGTCACTGATACGACACGTAAGTGTGAGAAGTGGAGCTCAACACTGAATGTCTGTTGGGCTGGGTTGGCCCAATACGGAAGACATGAGAAGCTTATTGGGCTGCGGGGTTTAATGAGTGACCCAAGGTCTACTCTACGCGGTGTGGTGCGATACAGGGGATTGTTCTGTTATAACAACCTCTACCTTATCTTCTCCGTTATCATCCTGAAAATAAAAAAGTNGTGAATTACCAGGTTCCGATCCTGAAGGAGATGTACCTCGTCTTTGACAGGGAACTCTAAAATTTCTCTTGTGTTCTTGCATTGTTACTTGATTCGTAGTGTTAGGATTATCTTTGTATCAACGGAGTCGCGAACCTGCGTATACAAAGAGAGATCATTAGCATTGTGAGCGGCGAGTAGAGAGATCGATACTTTCACAATTGGTATCAGAGCCAAGGTTAGAGCTTGAGGAAAGATCGATCAAGAACCAGAGAAGGACGGTATCAGAATCGGAAGCAAGCTAAGGTCGAAGATCTTCTTGATCTAAACAGGGAAGTACCTAGACTCTTTAGATCTGTAAACTGTAGAGGAACCTATAGGAGATAGATCTGAATTTGAATTAGTGTACAAGATTACTGGTGTTTGTGTGTGCGTTATCTGCAGGTAACAGCAACAAGAAGATTCAACGTGACCTACGATGGATCCAACACGAGGGAAGTTTGAGATCGAGAAATTTGACGGGAAAGGAGACTTTGGACTTTGGAAGTTCAAAATGATAGGTCAACTGGAGATACAAGGGCTTCTATCAGCTCTGAAGGAAGATCCATCTACAGAAGAAGACTCGGATTCAGTAGATGGAGATAAAGAGGCTAAGGTGGATCCAAAGAAAGCTGAGAAAGATCTACGGGTCAGGAGTCTATTCAGTACGTGCCTGAGTGATGTTATTCTGAGGAAGATCATGCACGAGACCACAGCATTAGGAATGTGGAAGGCGTTAGAGAAAGATTACCAAACGAAGTCTCTACCAAACCGCATTTACCTAAAGAAGAAGTTCTCCTGCTATAAAATGGAGGAGGACAAAACTATGGAGGAAAACTTTGATCTATTCCTGAAGCTGATAGATGACCTGGCGAGCATCAAGGTGGACATTTCGGATGAAGACCAGGCGATACAACTGCTTT